ACCACAGCGAGGGTTGGGACACTATTTTTTCACTGATAACTGGGCTGCCATGTCAGGGCTTACCCAGGTCATAATTAGGTTATATTTTCTCTAAGGGGCTAACAGCCTTCTTAGAAGGAAGCAAGGCTGGGAGGCTGTACAGCATTAGGGAGATAATGCATGAAGGGTTGGATGATTATGCTGGAGACAGGCCTTGTGCCCACTTTCTTACTGGTTTATCCTTCTTGCTGTTCCTCAACTCGGACATTACATCTCCTGATTCCCTAATTTTTCATTGGCTCATTTGTTTGCCTCATGCCTGGAATTCTCTCCCTCCTCAACTTCTGCCTCCTGACTTCCTTCGGGGCTCAGCTAAAATCCCACCTTTTACAAGAGGCCTTTCTTGGTCCCCCATGATGTTAGTGCTCTCTGGAAGGGCTTCAGTAGCCTCCCCAACACCTCAGTAATCCAGTGCCCTCCCAGCAATCAGTCCTAAACTTTGGCCTAACAGTCCAGAAATCTACCCCCAGTGCCTGGTCTTGTTTAATTCAGATAAGAACCCTATAAAATTCCACCCTGCTTCACAGTTTGGGACACCTAATTCCACTCAGGATCCCAAGAGGTCTGTCCTGTGTCTGTCCACCCTCAAAAGTACATTTTCTTTCTACAATCCATTCTTATTTTCTGGGTTTTTTTTGTCTTGTGGGACTCTACCTCCCAAACATACCAATTTTCTCCTCAGAAGCATGAGCTGTTGTCCAGGATTGCCAGCAGCCACCTCTACCTTCCAACCCTCAACAAAGGCTAGACTGTAAGCTCCACGCTCCATGGTAGGCTCTCCCCACCTTTCCCTGACACCAGGGTTATAACTACCCCTTCTCCCCTAGTCATTTGTCCCTCAGGCTTTTGTCCTAACAACGTATGTGACATAAGGGAAATTTTTATCTTTCTCTTTCCTGCTCTTTGGAATCTCAAACCTCACTCAAACTACAAATGAAAACACTTTCCTTCTGTGGTTATGTCCTATTTACACTGTATACATAACATTTGTACTATAGTTGTTTGTATGTTGTCTACCCTATCAGACTGTGAGCAAGGGCAAGGGTCGGCTTTTGCCTTTGGTTGTATCCCCAGAACTTGGCACAGTGCCTGACACAGTAACTGCTCAATGAAGGTTTGTTGACTTGTTCCTTGGGATTCTGCCTCAGATATATGTATCCAGAAAGTGTCTCTCCTGAGTTCCAGTCCCACATAATCAACTGTTTGATGCCATTCCCACTGGATATCCCACAGGTTTTCTTACATATGCAGTATACACAAAACAGAACTCATTATCTTTCCCTCAGACCAACCCCTCCTCCAAACTCAGTTTCTATGAGGATACCACCATCTTTCTGGTCATCCAGGTTCTCAGCCTAGGAGTTAACTCTTACTCCTCCCTCACCCCAAAATGAATTAATTGGTGGTTAGTTTTTGCCATTTCTACCACCACATCGTCTCTCATGCTCTTCTCTTTCTCTGCCACCCAACCTCATCAGCACCACCACCACTATTGTCACAGACTCTGCATTGTTCTCTCCACACAGCTGCAAGTGTGAAATTCCCCAATCACACATCTGATCTCACCACTCCTCTATTCAATGAGATCCAGTGGTCCCTCAAGGATCAAATACAAACTTCTCAGTGCGAGCCTTTCACAACAGAACTCCAACATACCTTCCTATTCCTTGATTCCCCTCAAAGAAATTTTTCATTTAGTTATGACAACTTCATGTTCAGAGAAAAGACAATTAGCAATTTGTAGGAAGTAAATGCCAAATGAGTGATTCAATTATCATTATCTTCCTTGCTTCACTCTGGGGTCTATCCAAGAAGGCTTTCTTGCTGTATACACCTCACACACCATACTCTATCATCCCCATGATGTACTCTTTCACCTCTGCTTAGAATCCCTAGCTCCTTCAAAACAATGCTCAAGCACTACCTCTTGTATGAGATTTTATTCCTCTAGTAGCTAATAGCTCACATTTTCATTAATTTTTGTACTAGTTTGTGTATATAGGTTGTTTCCCCAGATGGAATGTTAAGTCCTTGAGGGCAGAGACAGTTTCATCTTTTTCTATCCCTAGTGACCAACAACAGGGTCTGGTAAACAGCAGGTGATAAATAAATGCCTTATGATTCCATCTTTGACATTCGGATTCTGTATCTGACTCACCAGCAGTTATGTGCAAAGGTACCATTTTCTTCCAAACAGTGAGACAAATAAGCAGTACTTTTACAGGACTTTGCTACAAGTACTTTAGGAAGCTCTCTCAGTCACCAGAATACAAAACTCTCTGTAATGGAACTTACTTTCAATAAGCCTTTTATATCACGCATCCATATGATCAATCAGAAAGTGGAAAGATTTTTATCTCCAAACTACTCAGTTAGCCATATTATGTGGAAAGAACAAAGGGCCTGGATTCAGAAAGACCTGAGTTTCAAATCTGACCTCAGACATTTACTAGTTGTGTGAATCTCAGCATGTCATTTAACTTCTGCTTACCTCAGTTTCCTCAACCGTAAAATGGCAATGATAAAAATCCCACCTGCCTCCCAGTGTCATTGTGAAATAAATCAGTGCTTAGCACAGTGACAGGCATACAGTAGGTTCTATATAAATATTATTATTATTATTATTGTTATTACTCTCATTGCTCACCCTACCCCCATCACATCTTTCTCTTTCTGAGCCAAGCTGGCTGATAATAAGGCACACCAGAGGCACAGCAGCATAGGTGCCATTGGGAAAATCCCTCCCACCTACACTTACCCAGAGGCCCCAGATCATTTGGTGGCTGCCACAGGCTCACTTTAGAGGTAAGAATCAGGGTTGCCGAGCAGTGACCAGTGATTGAGACTCTAGCCCTTTCCCCTTTGGATGGGATGAAGTGACACTGGTGGAGCAGACACGGATGGACTATGATGCAATCATAGATTTCATTACACTGTCTTTCCCCACATCCTCCTGCCTGCCCCTTCCAAACTTTCCTATTATTCTCAAGGGCCCCACCATCTTCCCACTTACCCAGGCTCTTACAATCCCAGGATCAGCTTAGACTCACCCAACATAGAACACTAGTTGCCAAATCATGTTGTTTCTACTAACACATCTCTTAAACCTGTCCTCTTCTCCCTATTCACAGGGCCACCACTCTAGTTCAGGTACTCCCTCCTGGATTGTTGCAAACCCTATTTGCTCTCTCTGACTCATCTGTTTTTCATCTCCAATCCAGTCCACTCAGCTGTCAAAGCACAAAACACAAGTCTCATGTTATTTCCCCATCCAAGAGACACCAGCAGGTTTCTCAAGACTCAAGAATCAAGTATTTCATTTTTACTGTGCTTTAATTTCCTTTTTGTATGTATTTTAAAATGTACATAATTATTACTTCAGGGCAGTTAGGTGGCACAGTGGATGGAGTGCCTGGCCTGGAGACAGGAAGCCTCATCTTCCGTACAAATCTGACCTCAGAAACTTACTAACTGTGTAGCCCTGGGCAAGTCACTTAACCTTGTTTGCTTCAGTCTCTCATCTGCAAAATGAGCTGGAGAAGGAAATGGCAAACCACTCCAGCCTCTTTACCAAGAAAACCCCAAAAGGGGTCAAGAAGAGGTGTACACAACTGAAAACAACTGAATAACAACAAAACAAAAATTATTAGTGAGTGGATGGAGGGCTGGACTTGGGAGTTAGGAAGATCTGAGTTTTAATCCTATCTCAGGTATTTACTAGCTGCATTACTCCAGGACAAATGACAAGTCACTTAATCTCTTTCTGTCTGTATCTGTCTGTCTGTCTCTTGTTTGCAATTAGCAAGCATTTACTTTCTTTCTCTCCTACCTTCTTCATTGAAAAACAAAAGTAAACTCTTTTAACAAATCAATTTATCTCCTTTGCCCTCAGTTTCCTCATTTGTAAAATGGGGGGAGGGGATAGTAATAATACTTAACTTTACAGGGTTGTTGTGAACCAGTATAATTAGCAGAGCTGCTAGGTGGCAGGGAACAGAGAAAGCACTAGGCCTGGGGTCTGGAAAACCCCAATTCAAATTTGGCCTCAGACACTAAGGTCACTTAACCTCTGCTGGCCTCAGTTTTTTCATCTGTAAAATAAACTGGAGATGGAAATGGCAAACCAATAGTTTCTTTGGCAAAAAAAAACCCAGATAAGGTCACGAAGAGTCAGACTCGACTGAACAAAACCAACAAAAAGTCTATATTATAAATATCCGTCTATATAAAGCTATAAACCTATACAAAACCAACAATAAGTCTATCATAGATAAATATTATCGTCTATATCTGGATATGAACCTATATAATAGCAAATGTGTGTCATAGATATAGCTAAAAATATGCTCAAACTTTTAGGTTTTCGCTGATGGGGTTGGAGTCCTCTGCCCTATCAATCAATATTTATTAAGCGCCCACTGTGTGCCAGGCACTGTGCTAAGCGCTGGGTCACTGAAGGTGGTAAGAAGCAAAGGCGGGACTTTAATTAGCCAAGAACTGACTCCGAGGTGCGTGGGCTTGAATGTCTTGAATTAGATTCACTTCTACAAAGGAACTTAGGTGGACGTGACTTGGGGAAGCGCTGACCCATACTCGGCTAGCGCCCTGTCACAAAGCCCAACGTCCTTCTCTCTCTCCTTCCAACCGACCGCGGCCGTGACCGCGACCGTGGTCGGAGGCAGGCAGCAGCGCAGCGGGGGAGGAGATGGAACGCGCGGTGCGGGGCTCAGACCACAACAGAAACTGTAACGATGCTCGCGGTCTGAACGTTCCGTCTGCTCCAGCCGGGGCGTCGCTACCTGTCTGCGGACACGCTCACGGTCACGTTCGCCCCCAAGCCGCCTCTGCTACTCCACAGGCCCGGCCTCCAGTTCTGACCCCACCTTCCTTCCCGCTCCTCCTCCCGATGCACCCCGAGGGGTGCTAACGTGCAATCCGGGGCGCGGGGGCCGCTCTCTTACCTGACGGCGCTGCTGCGGAAGCTCCGGGACACGGAGCCGGCTCCTACTCGCCAGACGGAGAGGGAGAGGCCCCGGAGCAGAGCCCGGCCGCCCGCCGCGCCCGGCGCCGCCATAGCCTTGGCCTTGGGCCACCCAAGCTCCGCCTCCTACTCTTCCTCTTCAGCCTCCGCTGGCCCGAGCTCCGCCCCGCCCGGTGGCAGTGCCCTGGGTGTCTGCCAGCCTCAGAATGACCCGAGCCGGAGGAGGAGGGGCTGCCCAATTTGTGCGGAGAGACAATGAAGGAAGGCTTGCTTCTTCCGGGCTTCTGCAGGGATTATTACCCTGGCCGACCCGCATCTCTTTGTGTTCAGTGCTGAGACAGGGGCGGGGAGGTTGGCGAGGGGCTGTCGCTTCCTTCCACTTGGACCGTTTTATCTGGCTTCTGGCCTTGTTGAACCGAAGGTGCTTTTTCCAAAGTTCCCAGTGATCACCTAATGGCCAAACCTTTTCTCTATCCCCCATCTCCTCTGTGGCACTGAACACTGTTGACCACTTTCTGGGTTTTGTGACATGGGTCTCCCTCTAGCCTGACCATCTTAAAGGGCTATGGTGGTTGCCCTCCCTCCTCCTCTCTCTAACTTTCCCTTACATATATATACATGGTGACTTTCCTGATTGTCTTTGTGTCTGTATTTTGCACCTTGTAGCTGCTTAATAAATGCTTGTTGCTTCATTGATTGACTACAACCTGGTTGTCCTACCTGCCTACTGTAAGCAGGGATAATTTTTAGCTCTTCTCTTAGCCGCTAGGAGCTTGCAATAGCCGTAGTGGTTCACTTTATACTTTTCAAGTGTTCTAAATTACAGGCCACTCCCTTGATCTATTTTCCAACCTTAAAATACAAAACACAAAGAGTACTTGGCATTTGTGGGTGTAATAACCTGGGCTGTGTTTTCAAGTTTCCTAAATCTGCATCCCTTAGCACCACCTCCCATTCTAACCATCCTGTGTGTAAGATTTCCCTAAAAGTCTTAATCTCAACCAGCACAAAAGAGCAGCTAACCTGGCTGCTACATTCATGAGCCTGAGACTGTGACAAAAATTAATTGAATATTTATGGCCTGCAGAGAGCCCATTGAGAGGAAATGAGCAGAACTAGTGATACAACAGGAACACATACAGGATCCTTGGGAGCAGGGGATGAAGCTTCCATGTCTGTAACCAAGTAACCAAGGGTAACTAAGAGAGATTTTGCCAGCAATAAGCCATCACCAACAAGTATTTAATAAGCTCCAACTACATGCCAGAAAATGGAGGAAACTAGAAATACAAATGTAATAAATAATTCCTTCTTGCAAGGAATTTACATTCTAATGAAGAAAAAAACAAAGAGGTGTGTGTATATATAAATATATACATAAAATGCATATGTATGTATATAAATACAGAATAAACAGAATGCAATAAATACAAAGTAGTTTGAGAGAGAGGAAATTAACAGTTGAGCATACCAAGAGAGATTTCATGCAGAAAGTGTAGTTTCTGAGGCAGAGGTGAGGAGGAAGTACATTCTAGAGCTGGGTACCAGCCAGGGAAAGGCTTGAATCCTGCGTGAGGATCACAGAAAAGGCCAATTTGGCTAGATTATAAAGTGCAGGAAGACTATTGTACAATGGAGCTGGAAAAGTGTTGGGCCAAGGTAGTGAAGGGCTCCAAAAACTAAGCAGGAAATTTGTATGTAAATCTAGAGATAATAGGGAGCTAGAACAGTTTATTGCCTAGAGGATTGACTGGACTCTATGGAAATCACTTTGGCTACATCTGTTACACTTTCCTGATCTGATTTAGATGCCATCCCATTTTGCTTGGTTTACTTTTTTTTTCTTTTTCTGATAAATCACAAAGTTAAATATACCGAAAAACTATCCTATAGCTTATGAACCGAAGATATCCAACAGATGGAGTCTGAAATGTGGGTAGGGTGAAAGAAAATTCTTAGCATCTAAGGGGAAATATAGGCGAGAGCTAGAGGGTTGTGACAGCTAACCCTGAATTATTTTCCCCATACTAGTGAATGGGATGTCCCAGTGAAGACTTCTCAGTGTAATTAAGGTTTGGGATGAGAGTATCCTAAATTTGGAAATAAGTTCAGGAGGCAGGATAGGGTTAAGTATAGATTTCTGAAAGTCCCCTTTTCTCCCACTGCCACAGTAGTAGTTAAAGTTTGCTAAGCCTGAAACCTTTGAAGGCCCCCCTGTATCTTGTTGTATCTGTTGCTATATTTTGGTCATGGTGACCTGACTATATAGTACAATGTATCTCAGTAGTTAAAGTTTGAAACCCTCCTGTACTTTGTTGTTACATCTGTTGCTATATTTCAGTCACAAGGACCTGGCTATACAGCATAATATCTAGCTTGACTGCACATTTTTAATTGCTTTTTTGATATTATTCCAGTAAACTACGAAATATAAATATGTATATTGTTTCCTTTGTTCTATGATAGAGTTTCACATTGCCAAGTAGTGGACAGTAGGTGGGAGGAGGGATTTGCCCATTAGGGCTATTTAATCTGGTTCTTTTGTCTTCCCTCATCAGAGTATCCTGGTGGAGGGACACCCTATTCTCAAGAATAGCAAATAAATTAACTTTCTGTTTCTCCTTGAAAAAAACCTCTAAGTGTGTGCGTGTTTTTTTTTAATTTGAGTGGCATCCCACACACTAGGATTTCTTTTTTTAATATAAATTTATTTATTTTTAGTTTTCAATATTCACTTCCACAAGTTTTTGAGTTGCAAATTTCTCACCCCTCCCCCCACCCCAAGATGGCATGCATTCTGAATACTCCTTCCCCTAGTCTGCCTTCTCTTCTATCTCTCCCCCTCCCTTCCCTTATCCCCTTCCTCTTCTATTTTCCTGTAGACCAGGATAGACTTCTGTACCCCATTTCCTGTGTTTCTTATTTCCCAGTTGCATGTGAAAACATTTTTTTAAAACATGTGTTTTTAAAACTTTGAGTTCCAAATTTTCTCCCTTCCTCCCTCCCCACCCACCCTCATTGAAAAGGCAAGCAACTCAATATAGGTTGTACATGTGCAGTTATGCAAAACACTTCCTTAGTAGACATGTTGTGAAAAACTAACTCTATTTCCCTTAATCCTATCCTGCCCTCCCATTTATTCTATTCTTTCTTTTGACCCTGTCCCTCCTCAGAAGTATTTGCTTCTGATTACCCTCTTTCCCAATCTGCCCTCCTCTCTATCATCCCCCTGCTCTCTTGTCCCCTTCTCCCCCTATTTTCCTGTAGGGTAAGACAGATTTCCATACCCAATTGAATGTGTATGTTATTCTCTCCTTAAGCCAAATCCTATGAGAATAAGATTCCCTCATTCCCTCTCACCTTCCCCTGTTTCCCCTCCACTGTGAGAGACTTTTCTTTTCTGTTTTTTTGTGAGATAATTTACCCCATTCTACCTCTCCCTTTCTTCTCCGAGTACATCCTCTCTCATCCCTTAATTTTATTCTCCAGATATGACCCCTTAATCTTCAACTCACCCTGTGCCCTCTATCTATCTATCTATCTATATATACATACATACAATTTTTTTCCTTCAACTACCCTAATACTGACAAAGTTCTCATGAGTTACAAATATCATCTTTCCATGCAGGAATGTAAACAGTTCAATCTTAATAAGTCTCTTATGATTTCTCTTTCCTGTTTACCTCTTCATGTTCCACTGGAGCTGTATTTGAAAGTCAAATTTTCTATTCAGCTCTGGTCTTTTCATCAGGAATGCTTGAAAGTCCTCTATTTCACTGAATGACCATTTTTTCCCCTGAAGGATTATACTCAGTTTTGCTGGGTAGGTGATTCTTGGTTGTAATCCTATCTCCTTTGCCCTCTGGAATATTATATTCCATGCCCTGCAGTCCTTTAATGTAGAAGCTGCTAAATCTTGTGTTATCCTGATTGTGTTTCCACAGTACTTGAATTGTTTCCTTCTGGCAGCTTGTAATATTTTCTCCTTGACCTGGGAACTCTGGAATTTGGCTACAATATTCCTAGGAGTTTTCCTTTGGGGATCTCTTTCAGGAGGAGATCTGTGGATTCTTTCAATTTCTATTTTGCCCTCTGGTTCTAATAATCAGGGCAGTTTTCCTTGATAATTTCTTGAAAGATGATGTCTAGGCTCTTTTTTTGATCATGGCTTTCAGATAGTCCAATAATTTTTAAATTCTCTCTCCTGGATCTATTTTCCAGGTCAGTTGTTTTTCCAATGAGATATTTCACATTGTTTTCTAATTTTTCATTCTTTTGGATTTGTTTTACAGTGTCTTGATTTCTCATAAAGTCACTAGCTTCCAATTGCTCTATCTAATTTTTAAGGAAGTATTTTCTTCAGTAATCTTTTGGACTTCCTTTTCCATTTGGCCAATTTTCTTTTTAGGGCATTTTTCTCCTCATTGGCTTTTTGGACCTCTTTTGCCATTTGGGTTAGGCTGTTTTTTAAGGTGTTATTTTCTTCAGTATTTTTTGGGTCTTCTTTAGCAAGCTGTTGACTTGTTTTTCATGATTTTCTTGCGTCACTCTCATTTCTTTCCAGTTTTTCCTCTGCTTCCCTTACTTGCTTCTCAAAATCCCTTTTGAGCTCTTCCAAGGCCTGGGACTGATTCATATTTTTCTTGGAGGCTTTGGATGTAGGAGCTTTGACTTTGTTGTCTTCTTCTGGTTGTATATTTTGATCTTCTTTGTCACCAAAGTAAGATAATATAGTCTGACTCTTTTTGTGCTGCTTGCTCATGATCCCAGCCAATTACTTGAGTTTTAAACTCTTTGTTAAGGTAAGAGTCTGCTTCCAATGTGGAGAATGTACTGTCCCAAGCTTCAGGGGTTTGTGTAGCTGTTTTCAGAGATACTTGTAGGGACCTGTAAATTTTCAGTTCTTCCAAGGTGGTATGATAAGGGGCAAGGTGTTTACTCCTTTCCTGGCCTGTGACCACAAGTATTCCTTTCTGTCGTAACTGTGAGGAGGGTTCCTCTCCACAGCCACCAAGCTCCACCATCCAGCGCTCCTCCTCACCCCAGCACTGCCCCAGAACTGTGACCCAGATCCACACACGGGCAAAGCAAGAGATTCCTGCCTCAGCACTGGCAAAGAGATCCCTGCAGTCCCTCTCTGATCAGCCACTGGATTCCCCCTCAGTCTGTGGGCCAGAAGCTCAGGAAGCAGCTGCCCCCAGGGCCACGCTCTTGGGGAATGGAGCTGAAACCCTGCCTTCCTCTCTGACCACCAACAGAAACAGACTTTTCCCACTGACCTTCTAAGTTGTCTTTGGCATTTGTGGATTGAGGAGTCTGGAAACCTCCACAGCTGCCTGCGATTCAGTCCTCTGAGGCCTGCTCCAGGTTTGCTGCTGCCTGCGAGCCCATGCTGAGCTGCGCTCCCAGCCTGGCGCGATACACCTTTCTGATCAGTCATCCAGGTTGTCTTGGGCTGGAAATTTGTTTCACTCTGTGTT